TTTTAAAGATATATCTCGAGAAAGAGAATGCTTCTATACTTATACTGATAGCACTCTTCTAGAAGCATTCTGCTTATTTATAAAGAACGTAATAAAAGAAAAGAACATTAAATTGAACAGACTAAACAAGGTTTCCTCCAAATCTTTTGAATTTAATTCAAGCTTCAATTGTGACAAGATATAAAGTACAATAAATGTATAAGATATATAAAAACATTACACCATTAAAACGCAAATATACCAATAAATGTAAGTAATAAAGGCCACAGAATGTGGTGGGTTGTGGCAATATAAAAGCCGCTAAGATGAATTGAACTTAGTTTGTTGTTGTTTGCTTGATGAAAAGGGGAGAAATCATATTATCCCTCGTCGATTTTTCATCATCATCAGCCGTAAGATGTCCACAGTTGAATAAAGGTTGTATCTACCGCTTGTCCCCGAGTGTTACGATATCGTCGGTTCACCTAGTTGGTGGCCTTCCAATTTTGTCTTGCCTTTTTAGGGTTCCGTACCCAGAGGATAATACGGAACCCTATCACTAAGTTTTCGCTGTCTGTCTGTATGTCCGTCTGTCACCAGACTGTATCAAATAAACCGTTAGCCAGTTGAAAATTTCACAAATTATGTATTTCTATAGCAGCAACAAATATTCATCATCCCTCTGCCCTTATCCCACCTAGGTGGGGTCGGCACAAAATAAGAATCATGTTGTAAGTGGTTTTGGCTATTTTTGTTGGCCTTGGGATACAAACACCCTCCAGACCCGGAACAAATATCTGCGGGTCACACAAATAATTCTCCCGAGTGGGAATCGAACCCACGACTCCCGACGCTAAACTCAATAGCAGAGATAAAAACAAAAATATTTCAGTGATGCTCCCATACAACAGACATGATTTATTTTTAATTTTCTATAAGTAATAGTACGGAACCCTTCGTCCGCGAGTCCGACTCGCACTTGGGCGGTTTTTTTTTTCTTTGCCTTCGTCAATTTTTGATGACCGTGAAGTAATTGAAACAAAAGCCTAAAGTCTCGATCTCAGAGCCTTTCAGTAATTCTCTTTGGACCTGATGTTTAGTGATAACCAGCGGCCGCCCAATGACATGCGACACTCATAGAGATGCAGATCCGTTGCCACCTTTTAATAAAGTGGCAAAGGCGACCTCACTCACCAGAAGACATCCAGAAGTACCTATATATATATATAGCCCCCACAGATGTATCTAGTCCACGGCACCTTAGGCTTGCATATGCGTTGCCTTCAAAAAAAGGGGAATTCTGTTAGTTTACGAGAGGAAACGCGTTAAATACGCGTTTCTTTCAATTCACGCCGATCTTCTCCCCATCCCCAAACGAGCCTGCTAATTCTTGTTACACCAAAGGTGCTATGTGGCTCTACCGTAATAAAAAGTAAAGCTATTTACGAAACCAAGAATTCGTTCAAAGAAGCTGATAAAAAAGTAAAGTTAAAATTACACACCAAATTACCAAAAGACAATAATTATCCACATTAAGATGTGAAACATTGCCCGACCCATAAATTAAATAAAGCAACTAACCAATTCCTAAGTTAATAATTAAATTGTAAGAACTAGTGAGTTGAAACATATTTTAAAAAAGCGCCTGCCAGAAATTATGAGCAAGAGAATGTAAAATAAATAAAGTCACTTTTGGTTTACTTGATTTAGTCTGGTTTGTCATAAAATTGAATTAATAGTAATATTAAGAGACATATTTTAGCTTTGGCCAGAATAAAAGTTAAGATGTGTATTAAAATCCTCATGTAGTCATTAAGTCCCATAACATAGGCAAGTAAAAAAAATTCCGGCAAAATATAAAGCTTTGCTTGCACTAGTTAGTAGAATGATTAATAAACATAAATACAAAACATCTGAAGCTTCAGAGCCAGAGAAAAGACTTCAGAGTCTTTGTCAGGACATAAACATTTTAGTACTAAATTGTGATTTGAACCCAGGTTCTCCACAAGGGGCCTGGATCTCAACTGCAATTGACACCTTTTATTTGTCAAACTTTACAAAGTAAGAATATGAATATAATACCTTTAAACAAGCAATTCTTGTATATGTATGTATATACATATACAAGAATTGCTATATACATATATACAAGAATTGCTCGTTTAAATTAACTTTACGTTACCGTTTTATACGTAAGGGTGTTCTAAAATTGTTTATTTTGGAAAATTTAATAACTCGGTAAATATTGATGTTTAAAGAATGTAAATGTTTAATACAATTTTAAAAAGTTATTTATATATTTTAAAAAGTTTTTTAAAATTTAAAAAGTTTTTTGATTAATATATGTGTTCATTTATTGTCGCGGTTGTTGATTTTTAGAAAATGTACTTTTTTCACTGTTTTCAGGGAATGAAAAATATCATTCGAAAATGACGGTAAATTTCAACGAAAAAAAAATGTTATAATAGCTCGGTCGGTAATCTGGCGGCCCCGAAACAGAAAGCCGCGGTTCATGTCACGATCATTTACACACTTATTTTTTCTTACTTTTTTTTTTAAACCAGACCATTGCTTTCTTTATTTTTATTTCCAAAATACACGATTTACCAAAGAAAAACAGGTCAAAAAACGGTCCTCCAGGTACTTACTATTAAATGAGCAGAAAAGTAAGTACATACTTAATAAATATGTCTAGAAGTTTTTAAGCACTTCTTGAAGCTACTTAATCCATATAACAGCAATTAATAATTATGAAATAGAAATAAAAACGCACATATATTTATTCTTTTAATTTATTCATGTCAATTAATACTGAATTAAAAAATGCTGAAGGCGCCCTTATATTTTCTTATTATAATTTCAGTTCACATTGGCACAGAAAAAAACATATTACTGTGGGAGGTCATTGAATCTATACTAACATACCTTTATTTTCTAAATGCACAAGAATCTTCTAGCATCCTCATTCAGTTGCAAATTTGCTCGCTTAAATGACAATAATAAACTGTTTAGGAATTTAGGAAATGTATTTAAAAATAATAAATTTAATATAATTTGAATATATATAAAGGACAAATACAGAATGAACATTAAACATGGACCAATATTATGCTCATATTTTATTCCAAATATATGATCATAATATACATTGGTGATGCCACATTATATATTACATTGAATTCATTATATTGTGAAAACTATGAGTCAGCCTATATTTTGGAAAATGTGGAGAAGAGTTTTCTTTTTTGCATATTATTAAAAAAACGTACTTAAAAAAATATGTTGAAAAAACCAAAATTATTTATTTTCAACATATTCAGGAAGTGGTTTCTATAAGACCATCTATTTAATGGTATATGACAGAACAGTATAAAGAAGTGGCATATAATGACTGCCTTAAGAAAGTTTTGGTTATCAATTTTATAAAATGCTGAAAATACTCTTCCATGATTCTTTGGTTTTGGTTCTGTGGTTAGGGTCCCGTGGCCGATAAGAAAAACTCATATCCTAGGCACACTCCATTGTGACCAAAATTTCTATTTGATTCTGTAATGCCTTCTATAGATAATTCTTTTTATAAATTCGTAACAATCTTGACAAACTAGATCATCTGGCTAAAGGTTCAAATGGATACAATATAAACAAAATTACATATACTAAGTAGTTTCAAGGATTTGGGATACACTATCATCATTCAAATCAACACTTGGATTCACAATTTGCCACTTCTGGTGATCGAAATTGGAGAGAAAAACAATGCATAAGACTTTCTGCCCAACCCAGAGAGAACATGGCAGTTGGAGAGTCCAATGCAACAGAGAAATAGAGCAGCTGTTAGACGAACCAACAACCAAGTGTCATTGGAGAAGTCTAAGCCTACGGATTCTTTCATCGCAGCGTAAAAGAACGCGTACCTACCTCGGAACACCAATTGACCGCCAACATGTCGGCCGGCTTAGGGGGGCAAGTGTAGCTGTAACCGTGTTTGTGTATGGCATGGCGTCGCGAGAGTATTTTACGTGTTTGTTGTTGTCAAATAATTTTAAGTTGTGGCTAATTATTCTCAAATAAACTTCTGAACGTTTTGTTTCCTATTGGCATTGTAAGATTTGATATTAAAACAAATGTTATAATGTACTACTAAATATTCCGTAAATACTTCCGTAATCCGTACTAGACTTCTCAACTCGATCGTTTGTAAAATTCTCGTGTTAGAAGGCACGGCGCAACCAACTCACCTAGCCTACCACACACTCTTTAAGGAGAAGGGTAACTTAATTTTTCATACATAAAGATTGACCTTAAAAATTACTCTACTAACGCCACAAGAGCTAACCCCTGGCGGGAATTTTAAAGATCTAGGCGGCTATATGAATTTTAAACGATTTTTTTTTATTTCATGACGTACATTGTAAAATTAAATTTAAAAAGTAAATAACAAAAAAGAATCAGCTAGAAATATTTTGAATGCTACAATATTTGATTCATAAAATATCTAATGTAGGTGACTGATCCAAAATATAACTATACAGTTTGATCATTTAAAATACTGAAAAGTTGTTTTATGTAGTAATAAAACAACTTTTCAGTATAAAGCTTCACGCTTTTTTAAAAATAACATAGGTCATTTTGCTAATATATATTTTATTTCACAGCTATCAAAACTATGATCAACTGGTTGACTCGTTATACAATAAACTATTCTTATTTCAAAATTGTAATATAAATTTGAATTATAATTAAAGTGTGTTTTTAGGGATAATGTTATCCTAAATTAAGGACAATGTTTAAAAAAAATTAAGCGTAAGTAAACTTTAATAGGCCTTAAAAATGTAGATTTGACATCGTAAGAGGTACCCATTGGACGCAAATAGCAGTGTCCTTCGTTGTGGCGTTCTGAGATGAAAGTTTTTATTCAACAGACCACGTATTCCGACTGATAATGATAATGACGATAATTACTCTACAACAAATCGTTAAAGTTTCCGTCCGTTACACAATATCATTGTTTACAGAGATTAAAAACATTTTGAGTCTATATCAAGGGTTTCGTTCTTTTTCCATTCCAATTCCCTCTGTATTTCTGCGAAACTTTTCCCCTTCGTCTCCGGTATGCAGAATGTTACAAACAAGCACATCAGTATGGCAACACCGGCGAAGCACCAGTACGTTACCGCAGGTCCGATGGACTCTAAAACCATCGGAAAGAATTTTGACGTGACGAAGATCATCATTGTATTCACAGCTAAGCTGATAGATACACCAAATGCTCTCGCTGGACCGTCGAACAGCTCGGCCAATATCACGCATATCAACGAACCAAGTCCTGCAAATAGAAACTGTCTTAGAAAGAATAGAAGAAACTAAGATATACTTAACTTTGTACTTTATTTTATTATTTGAAATTTTTCTTCCCCACTGGGTTTTTTTTATGCTAAAAGTTGTCAAACGAGCAGACGGTTCACCTGTGACGGTGGGTTAAACTGTGTCTGCAAGGAAAGTGCATTCAGTAATTGGATTATTATTGGAATAATTACAATACCAATTACTGGAATAATATAAGTATGAACAACCATATTCCAACGTCTTGAGACGTAACTCGACTTCCACAGCTATCTGTCTAGCTAATATCACACCACACACACCATCCATCCACTTCTTGCATAATTTTGTCTATCTCGTCATGGTCAAAACATGTATGTACTTATTTACCTGCGTTGAAGCAATAAACGACGATTATCAAAGAAATGAGAGGAAGATAGTTCAAAAACCCAATTATTGTTTCGCCATCACTGGGCATGAGTCTAAAGAACAGGCCTAATCCGATCTGAAAATACAAGGGTGACTTGTGAAGAACATTTAGTAAAAAAAAAATATTTTTAATTCGTTAAATACTATAATATCTTCGAAATATAAGGATTAAACATTAAAGAACTATGTGTGTATGTAAGCACGTAAGGTGATAGTTCTTTAACATAACAAAAGAAAATTAACTGAAAACAAAAAGTTGTGATTGGACGCCATGGAATACCTTGAAGTTGGTTGCTTTGCATCCAATTTCATCATGTAGCTTTTTGACGATCGGTGTGCACGCGCATCGTTTTTTTTTTATATGAAAAGTTGCCAAGCGAGCTGACGGTTCACCTGATGTTAAGTGAATACCGCCGCCCATGGACGTCTACACCCGAGGGTTGCAGATACGTTGACAACCTCACTCACCAGACGAAACGCGAAAGTATTATACTTCCACTTTACGCCGGTCTTCTGTGAGGTCGTGGTATTTACCCGGATGAGCCTGCCCATTCGTGCAACAGCTGAGGCTGCTGCGTGGCCCTACCACTGTTAAAATTTTATTCTCATAATTTGATCCAAACGCGCAAAAGAAGTGTAACTTCATAAATAATATGCAAATTTAGGTTTGCTCTGAAAAAGGTAACTATTTTTTTGCAAAATTTAAATTTTTGTACAAAATTCCATAAGCAGTGTACCGGTTCTTGAATGGGTATACAATGCAATACAATTTTTATTTCAGGAACTCCGATAGCTCAATGAATAAGTATATATTATCAGGACAAAATAGAGATGAAAAAAAAATAAATAGAACTGCGGTTCTCACCAATCCGATGCACATTCCGATCAGCGAGAAGATCAAAATAATCTTCCTGCCGAATCTGTCGGTTAAGAACATCGTGCAGAGGCTCGAGATAAATTGTATGACACCTATAACGACCGATGCGATCTCCGGCATCACGCTTGTATTTGTGGAGATCAGAATGGTCTGTAGATAATACGCCACTGCGTTGTATCCAACAAGCTGCGCCCCAAAGCAAAAAGTGATCGAGATTGCGAGTGTCTTGCGTACAGTTGAACTTTTTAGCACAGCGAACATGCTCAATTTCTCCTCGTTCGTCTTGATCGTGCACTCTTTAATCTCCTGTTTCGCTAACAACTCCGAGCCATGCAAGAAAGTTAACACGTTCATCGCGTCGCTCTCTTCACCTGGTAAATTAAACATTATACTTATTATTTAACGTGTTAATATAATCTTTTTTTAATATGGTAACCTTATAATCTATTTTTATGTGTTAGATCAATAAAAAACTAGGTTTAGTTATTTACTTGGGGGGAAAATACCTCTTCGATCATTAAAAATTATTGCATCTCAGTTATTAAAAAAAAATACTAAAACCATGCAAGTTATCAAGGTGAAGCGTAGTATGGTTGATATGGATTAATACGGATATAAGCTATCTGAAATATATATTTTTCTTTGTTTTTAACTTTTTTTTCTATTAGATTAAAGTGTAGACATGCGATAATGTTTCGAAATGTTTTAAGTTCGATAATGCCAACCTAACAACTTTTAATACATATGATTGAGAACACTTTTCTAATAACAGAAGAAATATTCATCTTAATTAATGGTTACTTTAACAAAAATGACAAAGAATAGAAGAAGTGTGTTGAAAAGTGATAGAGCGCTATGTCAGACATACGCATTCGTCTTTATTGAAAGGAAAAAGATGATTGTTCTCTTGTCAATTTTTTAAAATACATGGAATACACAACAATCTCAAAAAACTTGCACAGACATGAAAATATTCTTGAGTATAAAGAACTCAATATTCCTGGTCTGTGCAAAGAAATGGGAAGTGATAACACACAGAACATTTCAAATAATCTTCATCACTACATAACATAAAACAAAGACGTCCCTCTGTCTGTCTGTCCCTATGTATGCTTAGATCTTTTAAAACTACGTAACGGATGTTGATGCGTTTTATTTTTCTATACAGAGTTATTCAAAAGGAAGGTTTACATGAATAACATACTGCACCCTTGCGAAGGCGGGGGCAGGTCGCTAGTTTACAATATAATAAAATAATCCTCCAAAAATTGAAATAAATCCCACAACAAAGCATGCATAAAAAGCGCATTTACAGCCAACTTAAATTCCGAAACTAATTTGCCGGAAGTAAAAGTCGACGTTAATTGAACTTTCATGTGACAACACTCAAGGATATATTAGAGTGAAAACCATTATCCTCACGATATTTTAGCTGATCAAGCAATAAAACTTCTATTGTATCTTGATACTTAAAAGTAAATATTTTCTGTGATTAGAAGACTATAATATGATGCGAACAGAAAGTAGCCTAATGCGATCTTATGTGTACAAGCGAAACAAACACGTGGCTAAAGTAGAAACAATCATGTTTCGGTTAATATTATTAATCTGAAAAATTATGGCAAATTCAGGACTTTAAAATAAATAATCTTTAAGTTACCTTTATTCAACAAAAAATACGGGCTCTCTGGTAGAAATAGCAGCGGGAGACTTGTAATCCCTACTATAACCGCGTATGCAATGTTGAACAATAGATAAGACATGAACGGGCCCGCGGACAAAGTGAATACAATGCCTAGGCTCGAAAATATCTGGAAGTACGTACAAAATGCTCCTCGTTTATCTTTCTGTAATAAAAGCAAACATTCGCAAAATATTATATCCGACAGAAAAGGGAACAATAAGATAATTAAACTTCACTAAATCTCCACCCAACTTAATGGGTCACTCGGACATTATATTTACGTATGTACGATATACGTAAAAATATTTTACTTAATATTAATTTACGATTCGTTAACATATTATTTCAACCATAAAGTTCATATTCGAATTCAAACATGCATAAGGGAAATGATAATACAAATGCTCAAAGTCATTTTGTACCTACCGATGAGATTTCAGATATATAAACTGGTATTGAAATGAACACGAAGGAATCGGATAATCCCTGCAATGCGCGCGCAAAGATGACCATCCACACTTCCGTTGCGAATACATAGAGCAGGGCCGCGGCCATTTTGGGTAAAACGCCCAAAAGCACGCAGTATTTTCTGCCAATATAATCCAGTAACAGAGCCACTAAGGGGTTATCTGGTAAATAATAAAATAACGCAATCAGACTTTATGTGATATTACTATAGTAACTATAGTATCATTGAACTGTGCCTGCTGTTTTAAGGATGTCAACCTGTGACCAGAAACAAGAGCATCATTGTTAGTTAATCTACTTTAAGTAAGAAAAATTATCACAACGTGCTTACATTCTGGTGTTACTGAACTTGATTATTTTATCTGATACCTAATCTCTCTCTAAAAATAATCACATGAGATAATCTTTTTATTAGACATTGTGCTCTTCATCTGATTTCGAAACTACTTACATATTACACAGCCTAAAGACTCTGCGGACACTATCCATGATCCCTCCTCTATCGTTAGGGGGTGCGAGAGAATCGTCTGTGTGCCGTCACCTAATTTCACCAGCATAGGCGATGGCCATGCTATGTTCATTCCCGACGTAAATGTGCTTAAGTTCACTGAATAAAGATGTTGGGATTAATGCATTATACAGAATTTCACATATAATTATATGTAAAAGGCGTATTACGGCTACGTGACCCTACTACAGTCAGAGTTAATACATATAGAAACTCATTAACAAAAAAAAAAGAAAATATAGACATAGTGACAAGAAGTGTCTTAACTTATGAAAAATAAATTGGACAAAAAAATAAAAAGAACTGTGATTTCGATAAAAATTCTAAAACATCCGCGTAATAAATTCTACATTATAAAAGTGTGTTAGTATATTATTTCCTAACTGCCTGCAATTTAAAGATCTCTGTAAGACCGAGAAAGACTCTGGGAAGATCTTTAAATCCTACCACAGACTTCACACTTCTGATTTATTTTTTGTTATTCTTTCGAAAATATGCAGGTTTCTTCACAATGTTTTTCTTCACGTAGTAAGACAGCACTTAAAATTAGCAATATCATTGGGGCACTGGGAATTGAATTCAGGTTGCTCGAGTATATTAAATGAAAAGTGAGTGCCCGGACATACTATATGATATACTTATTTATTCAAACTTATAAACGTCTAAGAGCCCAAAATATTCTGAATCAATTAGTAGAATGAAAGACATATCTACTAATGTCTCGTATTTGTACTGATACCAATAAAAAAACATTATAGAAAAAAAACTGTGACCACAAGAAATTAATGAATGTTAAGATCATCGCCAATCACATTTCCAACCGCATCACAGTAAATGTCTGCTTTCGCTTTAAATGAAATCTAAGCATAAGTATAATATTCAAAAAAAGTATGTATGAAATACGCACGTTAGAAATTCCTAGTATAATTATACTTCTTCAGCGTAACAAAAGAAAATTAACAAAAAATGTTATCCCATGTGCCAGTACTCTTTGTTTGTGAAAAATACATTAAATGTAAATGATAACGGTTTCATTAAATAACTTGGAATTATAGGTAAATGTCATAAATTTGTTATTGGTAACCATGGCAATACCATGAAGTTTTTCGAAATTGTTCGCTTTTCAACTAACTTTGTCATGTCGCTTTTTTCCACACACGCCAATGCCAATGCAATAACTTCAAAAACAATATTTTTAAAAACGAAACTTAAATTTATTAATAATAAATACTTCGTTACAAAAAAGATGATGAATACAATAAATAAACACTTCGGTTAATTAATCTTGTAGTACAAACCAAAATAATATCGAATAATTTAAAACTCATGAGGAAAATATTAATTTATTCAGTAAATTATCAGTAACAACTTACTTGGTAATTTTTTTTTATTCATCGTGTACATAACTATGGTTTTTCATCATTTATTGCTTCCGTGTTTTTTTTCCATAGTCAGACTTATGTCAAACATAATAACGTATCAAAAAACAACAGGGCTTAAAAATACGGCGTGTATCAAAGTCAAAACGAAAAATACACATATGTATATGAGAAATCATAACTTTACAAAACTGATCTATTAAGGTAAATTACCGACTTAGTCATAAGAATGATACATTTGTATACATAATTATGACTTACATACAACCTTTACAACGGGGATTCTTAATGCATAACGCTAACTGTCGATACGTACATATAAATCTTCGTTCTGGTTGAGACATGAAGGGATGTCATTTATGAAAATGACTTACCGACTAAAACGACAGCATACTGGCGTATGGCTTGTTCGCAAACTTTCAACATGATCAGTAATTATTGATTGAAATAAATTAATAAAGTCCTTGATAAAGTTAATATGCGAAATGAACAAAGGAGCATTAGAAGCGACTTTACACCATGACGGCCCGAAACATAATCCGATCTGTTTCTAGATCTGATAACGTATCTATCTCCTTTGTACCAAAGGAGTTATTTAACCATAGCGTTGTTTAACCAAGATTTTTACACCTTAGATCGTTATTACTGATAAACTATCCATAAAATAATTATCTCTTCTAATCCGACTAATTCACAGGATAAAAACGTTTAGCAATTCATATTTCAAACCTCCTACCAGACTCAAAAGAGCATACTAACGTATCATGATCATAATTATATACATGTATTATTATGTCATAAGGTGCAGCATCGTGCGCGTGTATTTTCTCCGTTACAGTTACCAGTAAGAAATATTTGTGTGAACTACAAATAATTCTTACTGATCTGGGTGTTTGAATTTTAAGGAGGATTGACGTCAGGTAGGCCGGCGGCCGGTCGTAAAAACCAGACAAAACCGCTTACAACATGTTATGCCGACCCCAACTAGGTGGGATAAGCGCAGGAGGATAAGGATGGTGATTTATTTCATAAATACAGCGTAGAGTAACGTTTGTGAATAAACTTAGGCCCTAGAGACAAACGCCTCCGTGAAAACAGGACAAAAACCGACCTCAGACTGCAGATGCAAATCTTATGCGAGACAGTACGGAGAGGAGGGTATCATAATTAATGTGTGAAAAGCGTTAAAAATGCATCGCACCTGCACCCTCCGGAATGATGACGATAATGATAACGATTTCGGCCATAGTGGTCTTGCCTTTCCGTTTACGACTTTTTCCAATTATTAGCGCAATAAGTTTACTTTGCACTATTCTATGAAAATGAAAAACAAAAAAAAATTCTTGCTTAATCCAAAACTAAATTTTAGGCAGATAGGCGTATGTGCACAAATGAGTCGCGTATAGATCGTAAAAGCCTATACGATCGATGGAGATGTGATGTGTCGAAGGGGCGGAGGTACCACTTCAGGTATTTGGCGATTGTCTTTTATAATAGCTATGCTCATGCGTTTTTAGCGAAATTTTATTCATAAATTAGCTGGTTTAAACGAAAATGATACAAAAAAAAAGGTGTGCAATTTAAAAGAGCCGAAAATATTATAGATAAAATCATAAATAAACACAACAGCACTGCCTCATAACCAAAATAATGACACGGAATGTCCAAGTAAGACACAGTTACATATTTTCTCTTCAATAAATATTAAATTACATTAGTGAGTTAAAAATGTTACTTCATTACCACGATTTTTTTTATAACTATTAAGTTACTGAAAACCTCATATAGAGGTGTAAAATACCATTTGCCTTTTTACGTAGTGCAGTTTTCGTTATATCATATGCGCATTTTTTTAAACATTATATCTTTCGTAACTTATGAAAAATATTTTACAAATTTCATTCATAACGAATATTAATATATCTGGCTAACTAGTAGGATAGCGCCCGCATTAGTAAGGTATTGCTATTGACTTAGCATGCAATGGCGTAAGTGCAGGTGTGTTGGTGGTTCGAAGGAACAGAGAGAATTTGTAAACTATTTATAATATTTAAATCTTATTATTAGTTATAATTTAACCATTTTCTGATTATTTATTATTTTATTTTCTATCTTGGGTTCAATTCCTTCCTCAGACTGGGTTTTGACCCGCAATTTATAAATGGGTGTGGTTGTATGCTTCTATGTAAAAGAATATATTATCCCATGTTACAGTGTTGCCCGATCTATCTTGTACAAAGTATGCAGATGGAGATATATCATACTTTAATTTTTTTTTTCCTTATACATATTTACTGCTAGCAAGGGTCGGCGAAAACTATTTACTCTCCTACTGATAAAACTGGATTTATAATTAGTAATACACTAATGCCGTCCCAGGCTGTTTCATTTCAGCTTACTCCATTGTGGGTAATTCTTTTAAAAACATTCCATTTGCTCATTAAGATTATTTGACGTATAGGCCACAGTTAGCCGAACTTATTACTGATAGTTATGAAAATCGGAGCACTGTCATATCTAGTGATATGCAACCTGGAATACAATCAGTAAGTAAAACACAGGCTGGACCAGCAATATATACGTCAAGCGAAGTTTTCTCGCATTCTTTAAAAAATAGACCAAAAGAAAGGACGTTGAAAGACTGAGTCAAAAATATAATAGAATAGATAGAATGGATAGACATGAAACGTAAGCGCTGGAAAAATTTAGGCTTACAATACGAGAGTCGGGACGGTAAAATAAACGTTATGCTAAATTACTCGGTGCTATAAAATGTTATCTGAAACTATGTACTCAGTACTGTAGCAACGACCTGAGTATCCACAATACCACGATGTTGCTCTAAGTTTAGTGTTAATCACCGCTAATACAAAAAAACTAGCAGTTTCTTATGTAACCCTTTATTCAGCCAATCAGGTTAATTAAAGCAAATGGGAATACTTTTATAGGGTAATATTAAAATTATTCAAGTATAATTTCTAACAAACAAAAACCGACTTCAATCAGAAAATTATACACATTGTTAATACCGGTAACATTCAATGATGGCCCTCGATTTCTCTAGGATGCCATTATCAGATCCGGGTTTCCTTATCATGGTACCACCATTGGGATATCTCCTTTCTGACAAAAAAAAAGAATCATCAAATCGGTTCATAAACGACGAAGTTATCCGCGAACACACATAAAAAAAATAAAAATATATACGGTCGAATTGAGAAACCTCCTCCTTTTTTGATGTCGATTAAAAAGAACTTTCTCTTGTACCTAACTATAAAGGTTTTATAAACTAGTGTAGTAAACGTTTACATCAATTGTCTTTAGGCTCCGAATAAGCACCTATAAAACTGTGGATCACTGCGACAATATCGTGATATTTTAAAAAAAATGTTAATGGTATTTAAAACTATCCACCTGCATTAATAAAACTTAAGATAAGGCTATCCTAAACTTTGACAACATCAAGAAATTTTAGTGAAACACATTCCACTTAAACACACAGCAAACATTAAAAAGAGCATGAGACTAACACTGTCTAACTATGATGAGACTAACAACTGTCGATGTCAATGGGCGATGATTATCACTTAACATTAGATTAATCGCCAGCTCGTTTGCCACCTTATCACATAAAAAAATCCACTTCACGCTAGTCTTCTGTAAGGTTGTGACACCCCGGACGAGTCTGCTGTGAAGCAGGAGAATTAGCTATTATTCGAGAATCACCAATCTCACGTTGATATTAGTCTGGTAAAACCAAAACCTCACTCTATTATAATGCTGTTATTTCCAGCTCATTAGATACACCGTCTGCAATTTCGCTACTAGAAACTCGCGGTATTTTTGTTAACTGAACTAATTTTGCTAACCATGATTGTTATTTTTATTAAGTTCAGTTTTTATTTTATTATATATTCAATGAATTTCATCAATATTTACCTTTAACAATTTTTTTTAACATTGCCCTTACTTGAGGATAACATTATCCTGTATTGTAAGGACATTTTACAAACATTAATTTCACGTGGACAAACACCCAGATGCGAAACAACTATCTGTGGGCCACACAAATAGTTGACCCGTGTGGGAATCGAACCCACGACCCCCGACGCCGAAGCTTTGGCAACTGCGCCACGGAGTCATCGAATGTTAAAAGATTGTTAAAACATTGCAGCTACATATTCTTTGCTCATATGGATGGTGCGAAAAGTATTTAGCGTACATGATAACTCCTTATTTTGACGCTTATCACAAGGAGTTTGTGATAACGAAATCGTAATTATAAATTTAATTTTATGAAAACGCATTAAATCTCGAATGGTGTCCTTGGTATTGAATTCGTGCAATTATTTTTGCTTGTAACGAATTTCTTAAAATACAACAATTCTTCAACAAAAAATTAAGTTCGTTTGCACACAAAGTGAGCAGAAAGGGGTTCGTTTACATTCTTGCGATGTAACTCGTTCTATTTCGTTGATTGTACATAGGTCACACTAAAAGTTTCCGAAACTGGCCACGTACATAAACAATATTTAAAAAGTAATTACAACATGTGAATATGGAACTCTTTGGCAGTAGAATGCAGTTTGTTTTACCTGACTGTCAATTGTTTTTACATTATAGCGCCATTTTAAAAATTGCGCGTCCACATTAACATTTTCATAGTCCAAATTTTCGTAGTGTGATTTCTACGATTTTAAGTGTAATTTTACAGTTCAGCATAGCCTCGTTCGGCTTCAATCTGTTTTTAGCAATGAAGCACCATGCCAGACGATTATTTTAGTAGTTTGTGAAATTCAAGCCAGTCGTGTCAATCTCAGTGACGAATTTCGCGATGGTCGCCCGTCAACCGTTGTTGGGAACAACAGAAACTGTGCGCCGTATGATCGAAACTGACGAGCATGTCACCTAACATGAGATTCGGACATTCTTAGACATAGGCATGAGTCAAATACAATCAATCCCACAAAAACATTTGCGTGATACACTATAGATAAGTTAATGTTTATGTTCTTTATCTATGGCAGTTCCGATATATTAAATGGAGCCTATGTCAGCTAATGATATCTCCGTTTCGGATAGCTGCCAAGGTGGTGGAGTCTACTCAGGATCCTGTAGTTTAGGGCGTATAAATATTATAGTAAAACTAGAGTCATCCATCCACATCGATACCCAACTAAAATTTGTCCTATGTAATCTACGTTGTTTTAGTTTTCTTCGAAGGTCTGGACATTTTATGTTTAAAATATAAATGTTAATGAAGTCCAGAGAACTAATATAAAATTTGGTTATTGAAAATTTACTTTTCAATTATATTCATCTCGATAAGCAAAGTGTTGAGAAAATAATGCTGGATCAAATGATAGTTCATTTTAACAAATATAAAATTTAAAACCAGCACCAATTTGGATTTACTAAAGTTAGAT